TAGATTCCAACCCAGCTCATTTTTCTCCCAGCTGTTCCAAGTTACTTAACTTCTCTGGGCTTCAGATTCCTCACCTGCAAAATGAGGATGATAATAAAGATGACAAGAATGAGAGCGAGATGATGATGATGGCAGTGGCGGCAGTGGTGGTGATGGGGAGGAAGAGGAGGAGGGGGAGGAGGAGGCTTTATCTGGCGACTTTAGATGCACTAACTCATTTAATCTTCGGGACAACCCTTTGAGGTAGGTATCTAGGGGTTGTCAGGAGTATCTTTGGTTTCCTAAGTTACAAGGTTAGATTACTGATTTTAGATCTTTCTCTTTTTTTTAGTATAAGTTAATGTGTGTAAAGTAGTTGACATGGTACTTGCCAATAGTAAACCCTCAATAAATGTCTGCTATTATTACTATTATTTTTGGGTTCTTGTAAAAAATAGATATTTTTTAAAACATCTATCTCTATACCTGGCACAATTGAGTGCACAGTGAACATTGGCTATTGTCATCTTATTGATTAACTATTATTTTTTAATATATATTTTATTGATTTTTTACAGAGAGGAAGGAGAGGGATAGAAAGTTAGAAACATCGATGAGAGAGAAACATCGATCAGCTGCCTCCTGCATACCTCCTACTGGGGATGTGCCCGCAACCAAGGTACATGCCCTTGACTGGAATTGAACCTGGGACCTTTCAGTCCGCAGGCCAACGCTCTATCCACTGAGCCAAACCAGTTAGGGCTTATTGATTAATTATTATTTTATCATTGTTATTTTTCTGTTTATCCAGCCTCCCTAATTTGGAGCATATACTGTCTTCAAAGCTATGTCTCTTCTAGAAACTAATTAAGCCCTCAACTCCTGAGAGTTTGCCTAGCTGGGAATCTAAATGGCTCTTAACAATCATGCAAAGTCAAGCTCATGCAGAGCATCATTACCTCTCCTCTCATCCTCCCAAGTAGGGGTGAGGGGATCAGTGGATTTTCTCTGGGAAGGACAACTAGGTAGCATGAGGACAGGTATGGGGAAGGAAATGTTTTACTTTATATCCTTTTGTATCTGTTGATTTTTGAACCACAGCAAAGAATGACTCTTCAAAAAATGGTAAGATTATTTTAATAGAGACAAACAATGTGAAGAATGCAAAAAAGACAATGGGAAAGAGATGAGTGGACCTCATGAAGGATACTACTATAGATAAAGTGGTGACACTTGAGCCGAAATAAAGGATGTGAGAGTTCTGTCTTTATTATTATTATTATTATTATTATTATTATTATTATTTACAGCTAATGACAATGCCTTTTATTTTGAGCTTGAATGGAAGATGATTTATTTCTTGGTCATCGAAAATTGTTAGACCAAATAATCAAGCCAACCTTTTAAAAAATTGTGAAAATTTATTATGCTCATTTACAGTGCTAAAATGAGGTAGATTGAATTTCTTTCCCAGTTCTGTGGTTGAGCTGATGAATAAATTGAGCTTTTAAAAAATTCTTATATGAAATATTTAAAAAACCATTATCCTGTAGCTAATGTCGGTCAACTTATCAACAGGATATTTTTCAATGGCTTAGGCTTTGAGCCTGCCCTTTCTATTAATAGGTGAGGGCAAAAGGAGAAACAGACTCAGAGCTGCCAGCCGGGCAAACTCCCACAAAGCAATTCCTAAATGACTCGAGAAAGGAGAGTGATCTCATTCATTGAGGAGCCTCTGAGATTCCCTGCTCATCTCTCTGAAGATGCTGTTCGGGTTTAACAGCCTGCTTTTAGCGATCAGGATGGAGGAAAAGATGGGCTGTTGGATAGCATGTTCTGGTCCTTGTCTTCTGGGCAAGGGGGACTTCTCATTCCTCCTGGGCATTGCCTACCCTCTCTGGCTTCTAGTCATTGCTTGAGACTGCATGCAAATACTACTGCTACCCATGGTGTAGCACAGGAGTTGGCTGACTTTTTCTGTAAGGGGCCCGTATTCTAAGCTTTGTGAACATTAGGTCTCTATCTCAACTATTTGACTCTATGGTTATAGTGCAAAAGCAGACATCATGAAAATGAATGGGTTTGGCTGTGATCTAATATACTTTATCTGTGGATACTGAAATGTGAATGTCATATAACTTTTAAATATCACAAAATAGTCTTAAAAATTTTATTCAACCATTAAAAAATGTAATAGCCATTCCTGGGTTGTGGGCTATACAACAATAGGTGTGTGTGTGCTGGGGGGAGGGTGGGTGGGGAGGGGCTTGGCGAATTTGCCCTGCATAATTAGCCAACTCCTGGCTTAGCACAATTCTCCCTAAGAATGCCTTACCTTAGGGCTGTCTGAATCTCCTTGCATCTGAACTTGCACCTCCCCCATTGCTCCTACACCTGCATTTTTATGCACCTGTCAGTGGGCCATGGTTCTTCAGAAATTTACTGTTTTTGATCTTGCAGAGATTCACCAACATTTTTGACACATTGATAGAGCTTCACTCACACTCTTTTCTAAACTATGCTGTTTTAATGAACTTTTCTCTCATTTCGTGGTATATATGTTTTCATGGTTTATTTTGGCAGAAGGGGTTATAGGAGTTTGATAAATGTCCTTTGAGTACTAAGTTGCTTATAGATTTATCTAGTTATGCATGATATCAGGCAATTTACAAAAATAATTCAAAGTCAGTCCTTTTTAAGCCATTTAATTAAAAAAATCAATAGAAATTGTAGTTGGCAAAACTAAGTGTTGAAGAAGTCAGGTAGACATTTTTTTTGTGTGTGTGTGTGGCTCTCTAAGACATTAAGGAAAGAGAAAAACATTAAAGTTAATGACTAGCAGGGGGGAGCTCTGTGTTCCCACATGTTGCCAGTGGAAGTGCATGGGCCACGAAGTTATAATCGCACTGTACGTGCGCACCCGCACGTGGTATTTTGTGGAAGACCAACACTCAAGGGGCCAAAGAGCCGCATGTGGCTCTCGAGCCGCGGTTTGCCGAACACAGGTAAGGTCACTAGTTGCTCGGCTTTGTGTTTGTTGCTGTTTCCAAAACATGGAGACCCTTAAAGTTTTAAACAACCATAGTTTCCAAGTAATGGGTAGCCCACGGTCAGTTACTGAAGTCTGGCTTGTCCGTGTGTGTTTGTGTGCCTATGTGTGTGCACATGCACACGTATGTGTATGAGCTGAGAGTAGGGTGTGGTATGTGGGTTCCATGCATATAAAGAAGCAGAAAAGCAGAATGTGCAATATTCAGCAGATTTGAGGCATCCATTTTACCATCCTAAAGCTGTCTTCCTGCCAGCCCCGTTGTGCAATGCCAGCCCTGTCTATTCATCTTTTGTTACCAGGGGGCCTCTGTTCCTCAGTGAATTTCCTTTCCATTCATTTTCAAATGACTTCTCTGATATGGGCATTGCTGAATATGCACAAGATAGAATCAGAGGTATGGGTATGGATAGATTTGCATAAGTATAAATATAGTATATGTACTTTTATTTAAGTGATATAGTGATAATAGAATATTGCTACCTCAGAGTGAAAGCTAATCAATTCAGCTATTGAGATGATAATGATTTTCTGAGTTAATATCAGAGTGAAAAACCTGCAGATTTTTTCTGGCCGCCGTTCCTTTGACTCATCTTGGAGTAAGAGTTTTATTTCTGTTAACTATTGAGCTATCAGTATCTGACCATATTAAATGGGATTGTTCTTGACAGGAGCTGAAGATTAATAGAAAGATTGACTCAGGTGGGCTAAGGTGGTCATTGAGCTTAATGATCTGGAATCAGGAAAATAATTTTTTTTGCCTGTAGTCTCTTTTAAAATGCATAGTTTGATATTTGCACTTCCAGCATCAACTTTGATCTGAAGCACAGACTTTTTTTATACTCTCCATGGTTGAATTTGACATTTAGGAAAATAGTAACATCTTTTCACTGCAAGTTTTGCCAACTGACAAATTCACAAGCAAGACTAGTACGCCTTTAGCCTTGACATCTCTCACTTTTCCTTCAGCCTCTGGTTTCATATTGAGGTAGTTACCAAGCTCTGATTGTTCCTCTATCACCTCCTCCCTGTTCTCTCCACCCCCCACATCAAGTCCAGGCCTGATCACCTCTTGGCTGGTCACAGTCTCCTGGCGCTAGTCTCCCTGCTCCACCTTTCTTCCCAACATGCACGTTAGGTCATACCCTCCCCTGCCAAACCCAAAACCCTGTAATGGTTTCTTTTTCTCAACAATAAAGACTCAACCTCAAGACTTAGCTCAACACTCACTTCTGAGTCTGACCTCTTCCTCCAGAACCGGCCATTCCCCCTGCCTCCTCTGCCCCAGCACAGCCCAGGAAGGCTCAATTTTACTTGTTTGATTCTTTGCATGGCTTTGCCCTCAGCCAGTCTGTAGTCGCTAAGAGGGCAGGGATGACTTACCTACCTTTGTACCACTAGCACCTAGAGCAGTGATGGCGAACCTTTTGAGCTCGGCATGTCAGCATTTTGAAAAACCCTAACTTAACTCTGGTGCCGTGTCACATATAGAAATTTTTTGATATTTGCAACCATAGTAAAACAAAGACTTATATTTTTGATATTTATTTTATATATTTAAATGCCATTTAACAAAGAAAAATCAACCAAAAAAATGAGTTCGCGTGTCACCTCTAACACGTGTGTCATAGGTTCGCCATCACTGACCTAGAGTAAGTACGCCTGGTCCATAATTGATCCCTAATAAAGATATAATGAACATAATTTATCTTAAAAATGAACTAAGGTTTTTTCCTTGGAAAGGCTGTCAGTGAAACATGTCTTTATTTTTGAGAGATGAATTAAAAACAGCAGCTTTCTGGGTAATGCAGTGCAGTTGAAAGCACTTTGTCAACAGTGCACGCAAGGATTACCTGGCAGCTGCTGCTCTCCAGGGTCCAGGAGAAAATTCTTGGGCATCTCAGTCCTCATGTGTTTTTCTGAGTAGATGGTATTAGGAGTCTTTTCACTCCTTTCTGTGTTTCTGCCACAGGTTTCTTCAGGAGAAGCATCACCAAAAATGCCGTGTACAAGTGTAAAAACGGAGGCAACTGTGTGATGGACATGTACATGCGAAGGAAGTGCCAGGAGTGCCGACTAAGGAAATGCAAAGAGATGGGAATGTTGGCTGAATGTATGTATAGAGGTATTCGCATCAAGCAATTAAATTCCACTAACTATCTCTTAAGAAGGCAGATGCCAGGTAACTCATCTAATTAGAATGGTACTTCACACGTCGAAGAAGGGACTTACTAAGCCATCTAAGTTCTTGAAAAGGATCATGAACCACTGAATTGTCCAAACTGTCAGCTAAAGAGCATTCTATTCACCTGAAAAAAACAAACAGCTGTGTTTTGTTGTTCATGTTCATTGAGACATGGAGCGAAGTGGCATTATTTTAATAAATTACAAAGAATGACAGTCTAAAAGTTTCCTCCACATTCAATTTAATATCTTTTTTTAATTTTTTGTTTAATTAACATAAAAATTCACAGTTGTGGGGAAAATTAAGAATAAGGTATAACTGCCACCGACTTGTCTAAATAGAGTTTTAAATCAAGTTGTTTTATTAAGAATCCTTTTTTTTTTTGGTTGCAGCTCTGAACCAATTTGTATAGATTTACACAGGAAATTAACTCCCCCAAGTTTTAATATCATTTGGTCCTTCAATCTGATAAGGAAAAAAGACAGTGTATTAACTGCTGGCTTTGTGAGAAACCGTAATCTTCACCAACATTTGGAATGCATGCTAGGATATAACATATTCATTTTTCATTCTGCAAATTCTCCAGACCGCTCAGATTCTGAGATAGGTCCTGTTCCCCTCCGAACACAAGGAAACAAACAGATGTCACCAAGGGGATGATCACAGTCAGGGAGGGAATGCCACACGAAAGAAAAGCCTTTGGAAGGCGATTCCAGTGCTATTATTCCCAAACCATACAGGCAACTGGGATGGACCCAGGCAGATAATGCACGCAGGAGGCGGAAAATAGGTCAGTGTAAATAATCCCACGCCGGGAGGATGAAAGTTTTATGGTGGCCGATCACAATCTCCTCTCAGCATGTATGAAACAGGAGACTGCCGGAGGGGCTGCTGCCAGAACCCAATCCTGCCATGGAAACATTTGCTTCGATACCAGGCGGTTCATGTGGCTCATCACTTAAACATGAACTTGTCCCAACTGGGGCTCTGGGGACGTTTGTCATGACGCCACCTATAATAGAAGAGGCCATACTATTATTTATGCACATGGACTTGACCAGTCACAGGTGCAAAGCTTTCATGTGATCCTATAAACCGAATTCCCTGGACAAAGAAAATCCCGGGATTTCATTTCCTTCACATTGAGAGAATGAGGAAGTTAAATAGGAATGTGGAAGATAATATAGCTCTGTTTAGTGTAAATTAATGATGACATTATGTGATTATTCAAAAGAAAATGTCTAGGTCCCCTTGAGTTATTTTCATCTTTAACTATGTTCTCAATCATTTATACAGTTCTGAAAATGAACAGGATTGGAATTTTTTTCCTAAAGGATCTTGACATTTGTTTGACTCAACATGATTACTTATGTGCTCAATGTGAAATTGAATACATGCCTTATGGTGCAGTTATAATATTAATATTATGTCTTCAAACAATAACTTTCAAAGTTCCCTAGGACAGGAATAGGGAGTGTCATTCTTCGTTGTATTGATCAAATACCTTGCATTTGTACAATGCTTTGCATTACATCCTTTATATAAAACTAAGTTTAAAAAATGACATAACATTTAATATACACAAAACCATGCAAGGTAGATATTATTCCTATTTTACAAATAAAGAAGCTGAGACTCACAGAGGACACATTTCCTGTTCAAGGCCAAGTCTCGTGACCACACACCCAACAGTACTTTCTGTGGTTGGTTAAGCCTCTGTGTTTATTTTTTTCAGGCTTGTTAACTGAAATTCAGTGTAAATCCAAACGACTGAGAAAAAACGTGAAGCAGCATGCAGATCAGACCGTTAATGAAGACAGCGAAGGGCGTGACCTGCGACAAGTGACCTCGACCACTAAGTCATGCAGGGTAATAACACGCCACGGTGTCTGCCAAAGCCAGTGCCATTGAGCTGCTAGGCATGTCGTGGTCTGGCTGGGAGGCTTTCATGTTAGAACCACAGCCATGAGCAGAATTTCACTTCAGCTGGGCATTGAGTGGGTTTCTTTTGTTTCCTTTTTTTTTCTTTTAAAAAAATCTTTATTGTTGAAAGTATTTCATAGGTCCCCCCCATTAACCTCTTCTAGCCCACTCCCGCTCCCCCCACTCCAAGACCCGCACCCCCCCCCCCCGCATTGTCTGTGTCCATGGGTGAATGAGTTTCTTTTTAATCACAAGAATAATACATCCTTTTGTGTAAAAGTCAGATAGTAGGAGTGTATAAAGTAAAAAAAGGGAAAATTTTCCCTGGCTCCATTTCATTCCTACTACCTAGATGTTGCCAGTAGAAATGGTTTGGTGGATAAAAGGGATTTTTTCAAACTGAGTTTTGATGACCATTTTTTCCCGGCCAGTGAGAAGGGAGGTTCAGACTGGGAAGGGTGTGGACTCAATAGAGGCTGTGAGTCAGTCTTTTTTTTTTAAATCCTCACCTGAGGATATTTTTTCCATTGATTTTTTTTTTAGAGAATAGAAGAGAGAAAGAGGAGGGAGGGAGGGAGGGAGGGAGAGAGAGAGAGAGAGAGAGAGAGAGAGAGAGAGAGAGAGAGAGATCAAGGTGAGAGAGACATATCGATTGGTTGCCTCCCACTCTTACCCCCACTGGGGCCGACGATTGAACCTGCAACCAAGGTATGTGCCCTTGGTCGGGAATGAAACCCAAGACCCTTTTCATTTATGGGCCAATGCTCTAATCACTGAGTAAACCGGCCCGAGCATGAGCCAGTCTTTATCGATGGGTAAAACAGGGTGAATGCACATCTCTGCACCAATAGAGAAAAGCTCTTCTCCTGAGGTCACAGATCACTCAATAAATCCTTCGAGCAACTTGGGACAAATAGAGGAACGGCATCTTGTCTGATTAGCTAAACATACTGATAACGCACAGGGCACTTAAAGGAATTTTAATTTGCCATTAGCTGAAAAACCAAGAATCCATTTTTTGTTCAAATCATGCCCTTCTTAATATTTATTACACTACTGACAAAAAATTCATCCACATTTAGTGTTTCAGATATATTATTTTATGTTTATCTCAGGAAAAGTATTTGATATGGAAGTATTATTTTGCCATAGTACTTCATCTTTGGTATAAGGAAACAAAGAATTGACACAATTATTCACCCTCTTCCGAAGACGCTAGTAAGGGAGAAAGAGATGTCTGGGGGCGGAATTGTCCAGATGGAGGACTCTCTACTTTAGGGGTCAGCAGATTTTTTCTGTAAAGTGCCAAATATTTTAGGCTTTGGCCACATGGTCTCCATCTCAACTACCCAACATTGAGTAGCGTTGGTGATACATGAATAAATGAGTATGATTATCTTCCAGTGGATTTACAAAACCAGGTGGATTCGGTCCATGAGCCCCCGTGTGTCAGCCCTGCCCTAAATAAATACCCTCAAATGGGGTCTCTGTGTTACATGGGGGAACTTTTCCTTAGTTATGGCCAAACCTTGAACTTCCACTGAACTTCTCTACGAATGGGCTCAATAGGCTTCATATCCAGATTATTATTCATTCCTAAGAAATACATGAAAGAAATAGTTCGTTTTTCCCTATTTTACAGAGGAAAATGAGTACCTTGAGACAAATTTAGTGAAATAGGATATGGCTTGCCCAAGGGCTCCGAAAAAGTGATGACACAATCAGAGCATACAGTTCCTGCTGTATTTATGGCTTTCCCCAGCAATTTCTGATATTTAGTTTACTCTAGGTGAGTGTGTGTGTGTGTGTGTGTGTGTGTGTGTATACATATATATATATATATATATATATATATATATAGAGAGAGAGAGAGAGAGAGAGAGAGAGAGAGAAAATGCCTCATAGCCACCCTCCCTAACATCTTTTATTTTTTTGCCAGTGTAGGAGAAAACTGAACTCACCCTGGATCAACAGAATCTTCTACATTATATTATGGATTCATATAGCAAACAGAGGATGCCTCAGGAAATCACAAATAAAATTGTAGGTACACTATCTGAAAATGCATGGGCTTAAACTTAATGTTTTCAGGGGCGTTTGCTATGTTTGAGGTGGAATTAATATATAAACATGTTACTTTGAAATGATTAGAGCCAAGAATTTGTTATACATTTAAGCTTTTAGCCGCATTAAATAACTAATGAGAAAGAAGCCTCATATCCATCTTAGTAATAATAATTGCTCTCCAGGATCTGAAAAGTATGAACTGGGTTTTTAAATGTTATTGTCTAGGTTCTTTAGCCTAATGATTTTATATTGTTTTATCCTTTTATCTACTTATTAATCATTTGCTTTTTTCTTAAAATTCAGTTAAAAGAAGAATTCAGTGCAGAAGAAAATTTTCTCATTTTAACTGAAATGGCTACCAGTCATGTACAGATTCTTGTAGAATTCACAAAAAAGCTACCAGGTATCTACATGTAGTTACTTCTCTGCTACACTGTGTGATATTCTTGTGATATTAAGAGAGGCAAGTCTGTTTGTTGCAAAAGGAGAATTATCTCACATCTGATTTAATATGTCTGCTACAGACATAAAATGTTTGCCCTAACTGGTTTGGCTCAGTGGATAGAGCGTCGGCCTGTGGACTGAAAGGTCCCAGGTTTGATTCCGGTCAAGGGCATGTACCTTGGTTGCGGGCACATCCCCAGCAGAAGGTGTGCAGGAGGCAGCTGATCAATGTTTCTCTCTCATCGATGCTTCTAACTCTCTATCTCTCTCCCTTCCTCTCTGTAAAAATATCAATAAAATATATTTTAAAAATGTTAGCGCCAGATAGGATATTTAAAATCATTGATGTTAATTCTTCCAAATTGATAAATTAAGAAATTGTGGCTTTGCTAAGTTGTGATTCATCCATTTATTCATTTAATAATGTTTGTCGATACCTACTCTATACTAAGTACCTAGCTATTACCTACTAGGAGAGTGATTAAAGGGTATAATTAAAAAAATGTATGCAAAGTGCTGTTTGAACAAAAAGGAAGTAATTGCTGATTATATTTGAAAAAGACAAGAAGGCTTCTGAGAGAGTCATATTTGCGTTGAATCTAAGACAAAAAGGAGCTTTCAGGTGACATTAAGGAGAAGGGTCATTTGAAATCAAGAAATCTGCTTGTGAAAATATAATGAGGCATGAGTAAGAATCAAATTATTAGAGAGGGAAGAGAAAATTCACTGTGGCTGTAGCATAATGTCTGTGGCTCCTTGGTTAGACATAAGGTAAGCTGGTACCACACCAGTTAGGGCTTAACTAAGGGTTTTAATTCTCATCCCCTGGATGATAAAGACTTCTTGGTGGCTTTTATAAAAAGAGGGAAATGATGAGATTTATGTTATAGAGATATAGCTTTATTAGTTTGTATTAGATGGATTTGAACAGGGAGGGACTGGAGGTAAGGAGGATCAGTTACTATGCTACTGCATTAGTCCAAGCAATAGGGCTTGAAATAAATACATAGGGCAGTGGGAGAGATAATAGGAAACAAAATAAAGAGAAATTTAAAAGTTGGTAGCACTTAGTGAACAAGTGTCCATCATGTGTGGGATGAGGGAGAGGGATTTATCCAGTCATTCTGATGGTGACAGTACAGGAAACTGGAATGCAAACTTCTTATCCCCCAGAGTCCAATTCTTTTAGATACAATTTCAATGCAATCTAAGTCAATAGGTTTAAGTTGTTTCATTGTTTTAAAAAATATATTAGCACATTAAAATCTCACGGTCTAGAAGAATATACTAAGTACCTTGTATAGCTGCATAACACAGTAATATTAAATTACAGAAGGTAACTTCTGACATAAGATTTTAATTAAACATGTTAATTTGCCTTCTTTTGCCAGCATTATGCTGTTATTTTATTAAATGTGTCAGAGATAAACATAAGCCTACATAAAACTCATAAAATGTGGGAAGAAGTTCTCATTATCATGGAAACATTAATATTCTCTCATTTCTTTATTAACAAGGAAAAACAGAACTTAATTTGTTTTATGATAATTAAGCTGAAGGCAATCTTGATCAAAAACATGATTATTCAAGAGTTAGAAACTGTGGGAAGAGATACTGGAAAGGGAGAAATATGATGTTTTTTGTTGTTTATGGGAAAAGATTTTTCAGTTCAAATGGTCAGTTGATCTTTAACCAAGAAATATTGAGGACAAATAAAAATCTTAACTTATAAAAAGGTAGCTTATCTGAAAGCAATGGCAATATCTTACACACCTCTTCAATCCTGTGCCTGGACTGGATCATTAGGGAGAGAGTATAATTAATGTGTGTTTCATGAGCAAAGTAGAAGGAAAAAAATAAAAACACAGAAGGAAAGAAAAGACAACCTTCGAGAAAGAAAAAAATGTTTTAACAATAATTATAGAAATGACATGATTACAAATAGTAATAATAGTTATGCAGTACTAATAATGAAAGAATGTTTTGTGAAGGACCGAGTTGAGGGATTCCATTCCACAGTTCACTGAGACCTGTTCAGAGTGCTAGAGACCTGGCACGTCTCCTGCGAGCAAAGGAGCGCTTAGATTCTCTGAAAGTGACACTACTTCTTTATCCTTAGCGTTACTCTCTTCTCCAAACTCCCATTGCTATTTAATACTTTCCTAGGCCACTTAGACCCTGAAGGCATTATCCTGATTTTATCTCTATTCGTGGTGTGTGTGTGTGTGTGTGTGTGTGTGTGTGTGTGTGTGTGTACACATGTGCACATGAGCTTTGTTTGTTTCCCATTCATTACTTGAGTCAGTCATTTTCCCCGCCCTGCATGGTGGAGGGCTGAGCTTAGAGAAGATAGCGCAACATGACCTCGATTGTTTGTTTGTTTGTTTTTTATTGGAAATGCTACACATTCTCCAGGTTGACTAAAGATCCATGAGTTGGCCAAATATTTTTTTAAACCTCTGGATACACGTAAATATTTTTCTGGCTTGTGGAAACTTCCATTCTGCGGAGTTGACCTCTGACACCAGATGTAACTAAAATAATGGCTCAAAGAGAATCTGCTTGCCTCTAACTTTTGAGGGTGGCTTCATCTGCATCAGCCTGTGTCTGCCATAACATATATATATGTTTGATGTGGATCCTCTTTTACCCAACTTGTTTATCAAATCCTAGTCAATGAAGATAAAAGTCAGCTTCTATTTGGGAGAGAACAATAGATACTTATGGACTTCACTATCCAATCTTAAAACAACTACAAAATAATTTTATGAAAATGTTTTATCAGTGGGGATGATGGTGAAGATGAATACTGTTTTATAGCATTCACGACTCCTTGATACTGATTTCATTATCACCTTCATGTAGGATTTCAGACATTGGACCATGAAGATCAGATTGCTTTGCTGAAAGGGTCTGCAGTTGAAGCTATGTTCCTCCGTTCAGCTGAGATTTTCAATAAGAAACTTCCAGCTGGGCATGCTGACCTATTGGAAGAGAGAATCCGAAAGAGTGGTATGTGACTTGTTTAATGATCAAAAGAGTTTGTTTCTGCAGCTAAGAATTTGCACAGCCCATGAAGGCAGGGCTCTTGCTTGTCTTATGCAATGTCATATGCCCATTATGAGTAACATGGAGAATGACCCTATAAAGATATGTGTTAAATAGATGGGATTTTTTTTAGAGTCTTGGTTAAAAAAATCCTTGTTGCAATAGCAAAATATGAACTCTTTTCACTTCACTGAGCTGAAGGGCCACAGAAGGGATTTTTTAAAATTTGGAAAATTAGTCTTGTAAAAAATATAGTGTAAAGGAACTGTGGTTATTCAGTCCAGAAAAAGATTCATTTATTCAAAGCTTCCAGGTCCGAATGCCTATGTATCAAACTTTTAACCATCTTTATTCAAAGAAAAATAAGAAGAAATAAAAATAGCAACACATATATCACTTAATAGGTTTCAGTCACTGTTCTAAACACTTTGCATATATGAGTCCATCAAATCCTTGAAAATAGCCTATCAAATAAGTATGTTATTTTTCCCATTTTATAGATGAGAGAGCCATGTGTCTTAAACACTGTGCTGTACTATCTCTCAAAAGGCAAATGACATAATAGTTTGAGGAACTCGGTTTAACTTATTATGGAGCAATATTGTAACATGGAGGGTCAGCAACATCAAAATGTCTCAACAAAATAAAACAGAAACAGACTCATAGATACAGAGAACAGATGATGGTTGCCAAAGGGAAGGGAAATTGTGATATAATAATAATAATAATAATAATAATAATAATAATAAATAACAATGATATCAGAATGGATTACTAGAAATTCTATGCAATTTATCTCAGAAGATAGTTGAAATAGAATCAGTTCTTATTTTCCTGAGAGATTTTACACATGGGTTGGGGGTATGAATGAGATGAGATGAATTTTGAAGATCTTTTTTTCCTTCAAGTATTATTATTCTATAATTGACTGGAACAAGTTTAAATACACACAAAGCCAGTATTTTAGAATAGAAATTGGAAAGAAGGGTTCTGCACCTGTGATGTAAGTAAAATAATTGAAAATTAAAAATATTTTTTTGAAGAGAGCCTTACCATAGTCATTATGGTTTTTTTTCTTAGTTTAAAATTGAAAGCATAATTAGCATCATGGGTAGATTTTAAAAAACACTTTTAAAAGATGCATTATCCCTATATGCCCGTTGATATTTTAATTTAACAACTCATAGGAGGAAGATACTGGCCCTGCCAAGGCAACTGCAGGTGGGACTCAAAATTCAGTAAATGTAGGAGCTTTTTTTATAGCAACATAAGTTTATATTAACTGAATTACATTAAGTGAATGATGTTGTAAATATCCAAATGGCCCTTGGCAGAAAAAAGTTTCCCCATCCCTGGAAGATATGAGCTAGAGAGATATGTTAAGAGAGAGTTAAAGTGTGGAGGAGAATAACAGAGAGAGATGACCTCTAGTTGGAAGGGGTCGGGAAAGGTTTCATTGGGATTTTTGCTGGATCTTGAATGATATTTGATGTGATACTGGGTGGAGGTGCAGGAGATAAGGACCGGCAGGAGCAAAGGACTGAGGCAAGAAAGCTCAGGTTTTGCACGCTCAGGTTCTGCATGCAAAGAAGAGTGAATAATTGAGTTTGATCAGATTAAGAGTTATAGTAAAAAGAGATAAAAAGAAAACATAGAACAAAATGGTTGAGGACCTTAAATGTTGGAGTAAAGATTTTATTCTTTATTTCCTATGTAATGGCCAGACAGAGATTTTTGAGTGGGAAGGGAAAACATCAAATTATGCTTTACAAATCTTCCAGAAATATTAGGATAAGCCAGGAAGAGGGTCACCTGGTAGGAGGCAGGAGGTATCAAGGGTGTGACCCCTGCTGCTGGGAGAAATGGAGAGGAAGAGAAGGATCTGGGAAATACATTATTGCAGCTTTTCACCCTTTGAAAGATATTGCGTTGTCAAGAAATGTGGATTCTGGTCCTGGACAGTGTGTGTGTGTGTGTGTGTGTGTGTGTGTGTGTGTGTGTGTGTGTGTGAGTGTGTGTGTGTGTGTGTTCAGGAGACTGTGGGTAAGGGAGAAGGATTGAATCGGTAACCTCCAAGGCACTAGCCAGTCCTACAAGTCTTACTGTTTTTCTTAATTCTTCTCAATTGGATCTTCTGTGCCATAAATTTTTCTGATTGATGCTTAACCAGTCATTTGGCTGGCTACTTAAATATCCTGATTTTTTATTTTATTTTATGGTGGTAAACATATTTAACATGAAATATACCCTTTTTTAAAAAGATATATCTTACTGATTTTTTACAGTGAGGAAGAGTGAGGGATAGAGAGTTAGAAACATCGATGAGAGACAAACATCAATCAGCTGCCTCCTGCACACCCCCCACTGGGAATGTGCCCGCAACCAAGGTACATGCCCTTGACCGGAACCGAACCTGGGACCCTTCAGTCTGCAGGCCGCAGCTCTATCCACTGAGCCAAACCGATCAGGGCTGAAATATGCCCTTTTAATAACTATTTAAGTGGTATTGTTGACCGTAGGTGCAATGTTGAACGGCATATCTCTGGGACTTACTCATCTTGCTTAATGGAAACTTTATGCCCATTGATTAGAAGGAGGAAATAAGTAATTATTAATTAATGGGCAAATATCTTTATTTTAAAGTTGCAATGAGTAGTTGACAGTTATCTTGGGAAGGATGAACTGCAGGCTGCTCAATTTTCATAGTTCAGGCTATTGAATGTAAATCGGTGGTTCTCTCTCTGTGGAAAGTTATTGTGGCTGCGGCCTGTGATGGAAGATGCCTCTCCAGCTTACCTGGCCCGCTATTTGGTCCTGGTGTCCATTCACCGTGACAGTGGTCTGTTTAGGAAAACACATGAGTCAAATCTAGCTTTTTAAAAACTAATAAAGTAAAAACAGATGATGATTCATATGATAAAGTACTTTTAATTTTACACATATGTCTCCAATTATCAAAGAATCTTACTCCGGTTGACGTGTTCTTGGTTTATACATCAAGGGACAGTGGTGCCCTAACCGGTTTGGCTCAGTGGATAGAGCGTCGGCCTGAAGACTGAAGAGTCCCAGGTTTGACTCCAGTCAAGGGCATGTACCTTGGTTGTGGGCACATCCCCAGTAGGGGGTGTACAGGAGGCAGCTGGTTGATGTTTCTCTCTCATCGATGTTTCTAATTCTCTATCCCTCTCCCTTCCTCTCTGTAAAAATCAATAAAATATGTTTTTTAAAAAAAGAGACAGTGATGATGAAGAATCTGGCTTGAATCTAGGCTCCACTACTTATTAGCTATATGTCCTTTTTTTGTTAAAAATTATTGAAATAGACCCCATAACTAGTTTGATCTCTTTGAAATCATGGCTAACTTTAATAATTTGTTCTACAAACCACCTTGATTTGATATTAAAAACTCTGTAGGGCCCTAACCGGGTTGGCTCAGTGGATAGAGCATCGGCCTGCGGACTCAAGGGTCCCAGGTTCGATTCCGGTCAAGGGCATGTACCTTGGTTGCGGGCACATACCCAGTAGGGAGTGTGCAGGAGGCAGCTGATCGATGTTTCTCTCTCATCGATGTTTCTAACTCTCTATCCCTCTCCCTTCCTCTCTGTAAAAAATCAATAAAATATATTTTTTAAAAAAAAAAAACTCTGTAGGGTGGGGCTGCCTCTTTTTGACTTCATATTTTAACCCAGGTACCTAGTGCATGCCTGGCTTGGAGTAGGTGCTCAACAAACATCTGTGAAATAAATAAGTGGATGGATGGATGGATGGATGGATAGATGGTTTATTATCTGAAGCTGTGAGTCTAGTCCATTTATTTTCTTTTCAGATGGTTCTTCCCCTGAATATAGAACCATTTCACTCACCCCATCAGGTCCAGTCCTGCCCCAGACTCAGGAACCCAAATTGCATCTAATTCTAGGCACTTGGTTCAGCCTTGTGAGAATCCCTGCCTTCCTGTGAGTCTTCTGGCAAGTCAGAAAGGCTTGCAAAGTTGATAGTTGAATCTTGAAGGATGATTAGAAACTTCTCACGCCACAAAAGTCTGAGAAAGGCATTCTAAGATATATAGCATTATAAGGTAACTAGAGGCCTGGTGCACAGATTTGTGCACTGGTGGGGTCCCTCAGCCTGGCCTGCGGGGATCGGGCTGAAACTGGCTCTCTGACATCTCCCAAGGGGTCCCGGATTGCAAGAGGGCACAGGCCAGACCAAGGGACCCCACCGGTGCATGATCAGGGCGGAGGAGGGACCGCAGGAGGGCTTCAGGGCATATCCAGCCCATCTCGCCCAGTCCCGATCGGTTGGACCCCAGCAGCAAGCTAACCTACGGGTCAGAGCATCTGCCCCCTGGTGGTCAGTGTGCACCATAGCGACTGGTCAAACGGTTGGACACTTAGCATATTAGGCTTTTATTATATAGGACTAGAGGCCCCATGCATGAAATTCATGCACTGGGGCGGGGTGGGGGGGGCGTCCCTCAGCTTGGCCTGCACCCTCTCCCAGTCTGGGAGCCCTCAGGGTATGTCTGACTGATGGCTTAGGCCCACTCCCCCCAGGCCTAAGCTGTCAGTCGGACATCCTTAGTGCTGCCCCGGAGGTGGGAGAGACTCCCACCACCGCTGCTACTACGCTTGCCAGCTGTGAGCCTGGCTCTAACTGAGCACACTGACCATCAGGGGACAGCTCCTGCATTGAGTGGGATCGGGCCAAAATCAGCTCTCTGACATCCCCCATGGGATCCCAGATTGTGAGAGAGTGCGGGCTAGGCTGAGGGACCCCACTGGTGCACAGTTGGGGCCTGGGAGGGATGCCAGAGGTTGGCCAGCAGGGAGGGACCATGGGAGGGCTCCAGGGCTTGTCTGGCCCATCTCATTCAATCCCGATCAGCCAGACCCCATCAACAAGCTAACCTACCAGTCGGAGAGTCTGCCCCCTGTGGTCAGTGCACGTCATAGCGAGCGGTT